GTACATTGTAGTTACTATCTTTACTGATGCTCAAATTGATTCATATCTGACCAGTGAGAGTCTCTTCAACTTGGTTCCCAAGTCTTTTTCACACTAGCCTAGTAGTGTCCAGTACAGGGAAAAGCCTGATCACAAGTCAAGGTTTTTACCTGTGATTCTGACTGATGAGCTATGTCAGAGGTTCCCATTATCCCCTTTCCCTTAGATTACATTATTTGCTAGAGTAGCTCACAGAAATCAAGGAAACACTTACTTAGGTTTACCAGTTTATTAAAAGACATGATAAAGATACAGATAAACAACCAGATGAAGAGATGCATAGGGTGAGGTCTGGGAGGGTCCTGAGAGTGGGAGCTTCTGTCCCCGCGGAGTTCAGGTGCATCATCCTCAGGGTAAGTAGTTGTGTTCACCAACCTGGAAGTTCTCTGAACCCCATACTTTTGGGATATTTACAGAGGATCTATCTGGAGAAGGGGACAGGAAGATCTGAAAATTCCAAGCTTCTTATTATGGCTTGGTCTCTCTGGTGACCATGCCCCATGCAGGAGTCATCCAGGAGCCACCCAGAGTCCCCTCATAAGAAGAAAAGACAATCCTATCACCCGGGAAATAACATGGTATTTAGGGGCCCTGTGTCAGGAACTGGGGTCAAACACCAAATATTAGAACAAAGATGCTCCTAATGCTCTTATCCCTTAGAAATTCACAAGGCTTTCAGAAGTTCTATGTCAGGAATGGAGAGGTGGGGGCAGAGACCAATATATTGGGTTGGCCAAAAAGTTCATTTTTTTTTTCTGTAAGATGGCTCTAATAGCTCTTAGTTGTCTTTAACTTTATTCAAAATAATTTTGTTAGATTATATTGTGACAGCTGTATTATCAGCATGCATTTTTTAAAAACTTACCAAAATTGGTGAATTTTTGTGTAGCCATATTAATGATGGAAGAAAACATGCAACATTTTCAGCATATTATGCTTTATTACTTCAAGAAAGGTAAAACACAACTGAAATGTAAAAAAAAAAAAAGATTTGTGTAGTATATGTAGAATGTGCTGTGACTGATTGAACATATCAAAAGTGGTTTGTGAAGTTTCATGCTGGAGATTTCTTGCTGGATGATGCTCCACAGTTGGGTAGACCAGTTGAAGTTGATAGCGATCAAATACAGACATCAATTGAGAACAAAGTTATACCATGTGGGAAATAGCTGACATACTCAAAATGTCCATATCAATAAAATTATTGGTGAAAAAAATGTGCCTTTTGTTTTATGGAAAAACTAAATGAACTTTTTGGCCAACCCAATATATCTTTTCTAATATCTCAGTTTCTTAGCTTCTTTGCAATCTGGTGTGACAAAATATTCCAGGATAATCTTGGACATTTCTTGACATAGAAATTTATTTAAGGAACCTTGGTTCCTTTCATTGGGAAATGGCATTCAGAATCTCAATTTAGGCACTAGATTGCTTTTTGGCACTGGGATTTTCAGTGTTTCTAAGTGTTTTCAGTGAACAGACCTTGAAAATACATATTTTTTCCTGACCAGTGTGTCTCAATAGGTTGGGCATAAATTTGCAGGGCAAAATGTCACTGGTTTGATTCCCAGTCAGGGCACATGCCTAGGTTGCAGGTTCAGTCCCACTTGGGACACGTGTGAGAGACAGCCAATTGATATTTCTCTCTCACACCAATGTTTCTCTCCCTCTCTTTTTCCCTCCTTTCCATTCTCTCAAAAGATAAATAAATAATTTTTTTTTAAAAATAAAATAAAGTGTATAGTTTTAAAATAATAAAACTGAGTTCATGCTGATTCTTTCAATAATTAAGTGATCTCCAGAGATCTTTCCTTCAGGCTACGGAAAAATTTGCAAAGTATCCCTATTCCAAAAATTACCCACATGTCAAGTGATAAAAAAAAAAAGTTATTGTGTCACCAGAACCAGTGACTTCCTTTTGGACAATGACGGGTAATGACTGGAAAATTCTTACTGCCCAATTTCCTTTTTACACACCTATGGCTACTATGTTTTCTGAATAAAAATATCAGATGGCCCTATAATTATTATTGTAAACATGGGGACATCAGAACAATATATTCAAAATCAGAACTATCTGGCAACTATGAAATGTATAGTTGCAATATAAATACTTTAGGCCAAAGACAGCAAACACATTGCCTCATGCATGGTAGTCATCACTAATTACTCTTCTCTACTGAGCTGGTTGCACCTTGGAATCCTCCAGAGCTCAGTTCTCTGGAAAGCCACTACAAATCTGTATGAGTTGCCAGGCAAAAGGCCATTTATTTCCATCCACGTTCAAGGCAAACCAATGTCCTGTTACCACGTTACAGCTTTGCACAATTAAGATAGCAGCTGCCAAACTGGGTTCTGAAGTGTACGAGTCCTGTTAACAGGTATTCCATAAACAAAAGATGCTTTAATGTTCTAATATGCATTGTGACTCTCCAGGAAGGGAAATAGTATGCAGTGTTTATGAATTTATTTGGATCCCTTCATGGACCTCTTTTGAGCATCTTATGAACACTGAATCAGGCTTTTATATTAATCACGTTCCAATTATATCCTCTTGAAGCCCAAGTCAATGTATTTAAAAATTGAATCATAATTGGGGACTTTTGGAAATAATAAGTTTTATACATTGAGTGTTGATTTTTGCATGTGTGTGTCACTCTCCAGTTACCTTTTCTCCAGTTATTTAAAGGCAATCTTGGTTTAGCCTCCTATCTTCTGACCACAGTATGATAAAAATTGTGTGTGTGTGTGTGTGTGTGTGTGTGTGTGACTGTGTTATAAAAACAGGATTATATTATTTCCTTATGCAAGGAAGCATTTGTGGAGGGCATGGTTTGACAGTGTAAGAGCTACAAGACCACCTACAACTTTGAAACTTCGAGCTATCTGTTTTTGTGTTGTTCCCTAATAAATTGTGGTAGTATGCTGCTTCTATTCTGCTTGGATAATAGTTGTTTTTCAAGTGGCCTCTAGAGACTCTTTTAATATAGGACATGCAATTAAGAGTACGTGGGCTAACATCGGATTTTGTTTATTCTTAAGGGTTTGAACATTCTGCAAATGTGTGATGCCTTCAGCAATTATGAGCTTCTGACTACAGAACAGGGTATGAAAACCTAGAAATTAAAAGGACCTTAAAACTTGCAAGTAGTTTGGAGGATTCTCAGAGATGATTACACTGTTGAAAAATATCATCTATGAGAAAAGGAAAGAAGACTCTAGAGTCACCTAAAGATGAGATACTTTAGTATGAAGGACTATTATTTTGAGCAGTTTACTAAACAGTTCACTGGAGTGCAGAAAAAAACAATGAAATATATTTATATTTTTCTCATTCTTTTAAAATGTCTATGTTGGAATGTTTTTAATGTATATGTATTATAATATATACTATACAGTAATATATATATGCACAGTAGTACATGTGTATAATCCAAAAATACATATACATATATGGGGACCCATGCTCAAATTTTCCTGTTATTACAGATAAAAATGTGGGAGTAAAAAATTGATTTAGAGGACTATGTCCATCAGAAGAGGGTTTTAATGTGTTTGGAGAAGGCGGGGGACTGGTTTGAGTAGGAGCTCAGGGATTCATTTAGATCCCTTCATTTTATTTTTAAAGAACAACAATTTTGATGAAAAAACATTCATTCATATGCAACAAATATTTTCTGAGTATGTCCTGTGTAACAAGCATTGCCCTAGGCCCTGGGGATATGATGGTCAATCTAGACAGTCACCGTCCTTGACTTTATCATGCAACATAGTTTAGTGGAAGAAGGCAGTTGTCAACCAAAATATCATACATTTGAATGCCTAATCATTAACAGATTAAGTAGTATGAAGAAAAGGCACAACAGTCTACATGAGACTGTAAGAGAATAAATCAGGGCATTTTCTCCATTCAGGGGTTATTGAGAAAGGTTACCCTAAGGAAATGACATTTAAGCTCGGCCCTGCTGCATTGACTGAGTAGTTATGGAGGGAGGGCATGTGTGAGGACCTTCAGGAGGCATACAGTGAGTGAGGAGCAGTGCCATGCAGGCACAGGTCTTCAGACATTGGGGAAGCTTCACAAATGGATCTGCCTGACAGAAAGATGGAGTGCTGGCTGAATAACCCCATGAGCTCCATCCTCCTTTGATTCCAGGAAAGAATAAGTCACAAACAAGTTGGAAATACTAGAGGGCCACAGGAGACAACAAAAAAGTACTAGCTGAGAGGCTGGGTGCAACTGGAACATTTCATTCTACTCCATCAATAATTTCGGAAACCTCTAGCAATGCTCTCTATGTGGCCCTCCGGAACGCTAACTGGTAAGGGTAAAAGGCAGTGTCTTCTATGCCTGAGCTACAAATGCGAACCTTTGTTTTTGGGTTGTTACGAGAATTTCATGAGCAGTAGCCAGCTAGGGGACCTAGTAATGCGTTATGTAATGTATTTGCTAGTACTATATTTCCCTGAGCTATTTGAAACAGGAAAATGTACGTGTTATCCTTTTGCAAAAGTAGAAGGTTTGGCCGTAAGGTAAATGAGGTACATCGAAGGGCAACTGCAGGAAATGGGGCTGTGGACTCTGGCTGCAGAGGAACTAAATGGGAGAGCAGTATTTGACGATCCATTGTCGCCATGCCTACCAAGGGGAGGCGCAGAGGACAGGGGAGACCAGGTTTGGACACTAAGCATAAAAGAAGAGTGAGCGAACCAGGTAGGGCTCTCCACCAGCGGAGGGAGGCAGCTGAGTCCCCAGCGCCAAGAAAGGGGCCCGAAGAGGCGGCGCGGGGCCCCGCCCCCTCCCCTCGCAGGCAGGCGCCGGCGTGAGACGCTGCGTGGCAGCAGGGCAGCAGCAGCGGTCGCGAGCAGCAGCTGTCAGGCCGCCGAGGTCCAAGCTGCACTTGCTGCCCCACTGAGGACTAGGAGGAGGCAGTGTAAGCAGTGACGGTGCCTCTGAGGAGCTGGGACGCCAGTTCCTAGAGCTGACTGCCTGGTGCCTAAGGATCCCTTCTTTCTCTGTCCCATTGTGTCAGGTAAGGTGCCTGTGCGTGGGCAGGGAGGGCGGTGGACCGCCGAGACCCAAGAGGCCGAGAGGCTGGGGTTTTGGGGGAAAATGGACAAAGGGAGATCTAGGTGATTTCTGGGGGTGCTCACCCTTGAGAAAGAGACCTCAATACTGCAGTGGCCAGAGTTTGGGGTAGGTGGCGGCAGAGGGGGGGTGTTGCTGAGTAATCCCAGCGGCTGACAGAGCCAGGCAGGGAGGCAGATGGCTCCTTGGAGATCGGGTGTGGCTCAGTGCGCATGCGCCAGGGCTACTGATTCTAAGAGCTGAGAGATGAGAGGACCTGGGTCCGAGGTAGTGGAAACCATGCGTGACATCTCACTGTCTATATCTCCAAGTTAACAGTATCCCTGTCATAAAGATGACAACATTCCTGGTCTCCTAAGGAAGGCTCTTCTCCTGGTACCCTGGTCACTTACCCGATCCTTACCTATTTGTGTCCAGCCAGTCTACTTGGGAAGAAGTGGCCTGGGGACAGTGCCAAATTGCTATCTAGTGTGCCTTCAGGTTCATAGCTGCAGAGCAGTCATCACGAGGAATGAAAGGTTAGAGGTGAAATTCTACCTTGGTCTCTTCTAGTTGCATATAAGATCTAAATATGGGCATAAATGTGGGAATAGCATTTCAGTGGCATGACAGCTGTGGTGCTTGGACTCAGTGTATGGATGTAGCTGATAACTTGTTAGCTCTACCAAATGAATCCAGCATGCACATCAGAGGGCTTCTCTGCTAGGAAACTCCCCCGCCCCCACACTACCACCAAGCATTAGGTTGTACTGGAAACAGTCTATACCATTTGAGGTGGAGAATCTCAAGGATTCGATCATTTCTTATTTGTACTGATTTTTACAAAGATTAAAGAAAGCTTACCCCAGGTCTTGAGTGCAGTATTAACAAATGTTTTGCCAGGAATCAACAGTGAGTTGAGGAGCCTCAACCAGTGAGTCACCACAAGATGGGCCTTTCCTCACAGCTCCAACCATGGCTCATCTCCTCTGCAGATTGCCACTAGTGCTGCTCTCATCCACTCTCTAGCCCTCTTCTGCTGCTCTATTCCCACCCCCAGTCCTGCAGTACACACCGTTCTCAAGACTTGCTCCTAATCTGCACTATGAATTTGTGCATCATTCTACCCATGGCAACCAAATTGACGTTACTAATTTGCATTTCTCTCTTCTCTCCATCGTCACACTAAAATGTACTATTTTTAAAGGTTCAACCTCTTTCTCCTCATTGTACTGCCTCCTCCCTCACCTCTACCCCTACCCCAGACTAAATACAATCAGTTTAATAAACCTGTGTGGGTGCCAGCACAGCAAACTCAGAAGGTTTCAAGTATGTTGAAGAACAAAGAAAGCTGGCAAATATTGGTTATCTGAATTCTTAATTCAACTTACTGGCTGAGACTTTAACTAGAAAAAAATGAATAAACTACCATCACAGAATTCTTGTTAATCTATTTGGGGCAGTGGGATAGGAAAGGAGAATTGCATCTCTAAGATAGTTGGTCTGTTAAAGTTAGACCTTTTTCTGAATAGGACCGAAATCAGAATAAACATTTTAGTCCAAATCCTAACCTTATATGAAACCCATAAATGATATATAAAGAGTATGACTTTCCTATTAGATGTACTTAGTGTTATCAAAGAGTTCTTTTACCTATTTATGTTATCTTGTTTCAAGGTTTGATTTAAATTTGGCATATTCTGGGTAGGAAAAATTGACTTGCTTTTATACTGTATTAGTTTTTCTTTTAACTTAAATATGTACTGAAGGAGGTCACACTCATTTTCAAATGATGATGGTGATGATAGCGCTGTGAGCAAACACTGAAAACATGAAGTGGAGAGGATTATTCTCTTATTTTTGACAGGAATCAAGAAATTTGTATACTTATTTTTGAAATGTGAGGTCAAGGGAGGGAAACTGGAGTATTTCTATCAGCTTTCAATAGGTGGAATTCCTATTAAGTCCCATTTAGAAAATGATCCAGATAAGTCCATTACTTCTGTCCTCTAGTTACCTTATAAATAATAGTATTTTGATTTCTTACAGAACTGTGGATCTATTGTACCTTGGCATAAATTCAGAGGCATTAGTTCTGGGCACCTACCTAACAGTTAATTAATGAATAAATATTTATTGATTAGTCATATGGAGGACCCTGGTGCTGCATGTTGAAGGGGCTTCAAAGACAAACAAACATGGTCTTACTATCCGGGAATTTAAAATTTGATTGTGTTGGAAAGACATACCTGACAAAAAGTTTTGTTAACCAAATAAGACAGTATAATGATACTGTTTCAACTATAAACTATAAGATCTGAAGTTTATGTGTTAATTTGTGAACTCCTTGAGGTTAAGACCTCACCTGAAATATGTATGCATTTCCAACAGTGTCTATATCCAATGAGTGTTCAAGTGATTAAGTTTTGCAAAGTAGATTGTGTAAGGAGAAACCAGAGGGAAGGGAGAGAATAGCCAGGAAGCTTTCTTAATAGATGCAAGGAGATATGGTCCAAAATGAGGATGGTACCAGAAGACTGGAAAAGGATAGTCCAAGGAAAAATCAGCAGCATTTAGTGACTGAAGGCAAGGAGACAAGCCTAAACTATATTCATCTCTACCTCCAGCAAACAAACAGATAATGGAGACTGGAGGGTCACCCTAGTAAGGACACAGCACATAATAGGTACTCAAATGTTTTCTCAAGCATCAGTAGCAGGATTGGACCAGAAGACCTTTAAGGTGCCTCCAACGCTGAGATTCTGTAGTATATGCAGATGCTCAAAATTTTGGGAAACAAGACATTCTCAGATATGGAAGACAGAGAAAAGAAAGAATTGTTATCTTCCTACTGGCAGGCCCTTTCTGAGAAGGATTAATACTAACTTATAAGGCCCTCTCATCAGTGAATGAAAGGAAGTGGAGGAGCAAGAGAAACAAAGACCTCAATCCAAAATTTCAATAAATGCTTTGCACACTTTGTTAAGATATTCATTTGCCCCCAAATCCTATGAGTTAAGTAGGGCAGGTATTACCAGCTCTATTTTCATATAGGAAGGTATTGAAACAGAGCAAGATTACTGTAAGTGACCTGTCCAAGTTCATAACATAAACGAATGGGAAAGCAATGATGAAGACTCTTATCTCCCAGTTGCTACCAGTCCAGTGCACTTGACACTAAACCACATTGTTTTTCCTGCCTTTTCTGTGGTAGAGAGCATATGTACCCAGAAGCTATGTGTGCACATGACCAAATAGGGAATGTACAAGCAAGTGCAGCATTATCTCAGATAGGTATTAATATTATTCCTGGAGTTGAGTATTTGGTTTCCATATGCACTCAGTCCTAGACCCATCATCTCATGCATCTGCAACTGGGAAAGTAGAGTTAGTGAGTCGTTGAATGGCATGAACACCTGTTTGCTAGAAACTTAAGAAACTCATTTGGCATGGGCCCTTATAGCATCAGTATTGTGCCCAAGTTTGTACTTCCTTCTGTTCCTTTTATTTTTTATTTTACTTTTTAAAAGTGAGAGTTCAAGAGTTTGGCTTTATAAAGATATCCTATAGACCAGTATTAAAAATAAAGAGGTGTGCTAACACTTGTTCCATCCATTTAAAGAACTGTTTGTTACTTGAGCTGGTGCCAAAGATGGAAGTTTGAGAGCAAAGAAAAAAAGGGCAAAAATCAAGAACTGTGGAAAACTTGAGAATTCTTTAGAATAGATACAGACCAACAAGGAGGAAAAACCTATCAATTTAAAGACATTACTTAAATTTATATTTACTGATTTCTATCTCTAATAAATCCCTTATTATACACTTTACCTATATTTGAAAAAATAATGAGATTATAAAGCAGAAGAGATTTCTTAAAAGCTTATTTTTTTCCTTACTAAGGAATAACACTCAACAAATCTAGGGACTGTTTTTCTTTTTAGACCAGCATTCTTTTTTAAAAAAATTAATATTTTTTCTTGTTTATTCTATTACAGCTGTCCCAATATTTCCCCCTTTGCTTTCTGCCACCCAGCCCTCCCCCAACTCCTACAGTCAATCCCTACGCCATTGTCCATTTCCATGGGTCATTCATACATGTTCTTTGACTAGTCACTTTCCCTTCTTTCCACCATTTCCCCCCTCCCCACCTAACTCCCTTTGGGCAGCTGTCAGTCTGTTCCTTGTTTCCATGTCTCTGGTTCTGTTTTGTTTATTAGTTTATTTTGTTCATTAGATTCCTTTTATAACTGAGATCATATGGTATTTCTTTTTCACTGATTGGCTTATTTCACTTAGCATAATAGTCTCCAGTTCCATCCATGTTGTTACAAAAGGTAGGAGTTCATTCTTTCTTTTATTTTTTTAAATGTGGATTCATTTTATTTATTTTTTAAATGTCAAAGTCCATTATAAAATATTTAAAAATTTAAATCCATTATAAAGTCTCAGCAATTAAAATAACATGACACCAGCACAGAAATGATCAAGTAGATCAATGAAATATAATGAGCATTCTAGAAACAAATGTATATATCTGTCTAACAATGTAATATATAATTAAATTGATATTTCAAATCAATGGGGAAAATAAGGCTTATTCAACAAATAAGGTTCATGGATCACTATTACTTGAAATAAAACAAATGTAGAGCCCTATTTCACACATCATACAAAAAATATTCAGGTGAGTTAAAAATCAATATGTAAAATCTTCTGTTTCATCTAGCCTGCTTTTGATTCCTTCTACTGTGTTCTTCAATTCAGAAATTGTAGTCTTCATTTCCTCTTGTCTCTTGTTGATAGTTTCTATGTCCTTTTTCATGTTGATATAGTTTTCAGTAAGTTCCTTGTAGTTTCCCTGTAGTTTTTGGTAATTCTCTCTGAGCTCACTGAGTTCATTGAGCTTCCTTAGAACCGTTGTTTGGAACTCAATATCTGATAGTTTACTTGCCTCTATTTCATTTATTTCTCTTTCTGGGGATTCCTCCTTTCCCTTCGACTGGGGGGTGTTTCTCTGTCTTCCCATTATTTGTGAGACTCTTCTTTTTTGCTTCTGCTTCTTAAATTGATTGGTCTTGATTTCCTGACTTTGTGGTGTGAACTTCTATGTTGGAGACCCCTTTTTTTTCTTTCTGGATCTGCTTCTGATGATGTCAGCTGTTGACCCTGTCTGACCTTAGGCAGTCTGTTTGAGACTTCCAGGAATCTATTGTCTGTGTCTGTCTCCTTCAGCTGTTAAGCTAGTCACTCTGTACTCAGAAATCAGGCTTAGACACCACATAGCATAGCAGAGTCCCTCCTGGGGTTGGAGTTATTGGGTCCTCTCATGCTGCTGCTTCTCAGGGGAGTAGTCCTCCTGAGTAAGGTGACTGCTGCCATATAAGGGATGAGTCAGCCCCAAGATCCCACCAGCTACTCTCTCAGTTCTCTCCCCAAAGCCTCCTCCCCAAGTCTCTTGTCAGGCATCTCCAGCTCACTCTGCCCCCACCTTTGCCGGAGCCCAGGATAAGTGGCTGCAAATAAAAATTTATGTTTTGGCCCTTTGAAAGGCTCTTTGTGTCTCCAGCCTCCTGTCTCTAGCAGAGAGCAACCCTGCCCCTTTTCATAGCTATTTGTTTCTGTGTACTTTTTGGGCTCTAGTGCTGTAGGCTGGAGATCCCCACTTATGATTTAGACCCCACTTATCTCAGGGAGATCCAACTGGCCATTTCAATATCCTTCTTGAGTTTCTACCATACTCCTTACCAGTTATGTTGTGCTAAAGCTGGTTCTCCTGTCTGTCCGAGGTTACAAGGCTCCTCTCTCGCTATTGTTCAGTTATTTGTTCCAGGTGATTTTTCCACAATTTAATTGTAATTCCAGATTGGTCCTGGGAGGAGGTCACTGTGACTTCCACTGACTCCTCCACCATCTTGATTCTTAGACCAGCATTCTTGATGCTGGTTAAATAAGACTTGTGCCATAATTAATTAAAATATTCAATTAAGTTGTGTTTGAATTTAATAAAACCAGCTAAATACTAAAACTTATGTTCAAGACAGGTGATCAAAATTAATGAGTAAAATAATTAGCCAAGAGAATATATTGTAAACAGGGAATCCCCAAACATAGCTTTTTTTTTTTTCACTGATCTTGTGGGATCAAATGCAGAGACAAACTCAAGTTAGATTTGTGAGTACACTAGCAAGTTCATGGAGATAAGAACATTGGTAGGTATAAAGGGAAGGAATTTCATCTCTGACATAGAATCTTAACATATCTTGGACTCCCTGTGCTTTCCCTTTCCTGTATATCTTCTACTGTGAATATCACCCACTTTCTTTTATTTACTTTGAATGGAGAGACAATGTAAAACTTTAAAAATCATATAAAGTTCATTCAAGTTCGTACAAGTTAACATTCTTGCAATAAAATTATTTTGTTCATGTTAAGCATTCATAGCATTTTAAACTTTTAAGTATATTTATTAAAAGCATTTTCTGTAGGTAAGTTTGAGGTTGGTCTTTGTTTTTCCTGACTTCAGTGTGTTTTTTTAATATATATATTCTTTATTTTATTATAGATTTTAAAAAATAATGTTTCCACACTTATTTTTTAGACTCCTAAAAAAGAAAAAAAACAACAAGAAAAGGCAAGATTGTGACAAAGACCCAACTGGGTAGGTTTATATTTCATACTCACCTGGCTAGATATATTTTATACTTTTTCATCAGATCTCCTAAAAATGAATGTTTAGAAAAATATATTGTTAGCACACGTGCACACCAACATAATTTTAAGGACTACTGAGGTTTTTAAAAAATTACATTTCAAATGTATGTGCTTTCAAACTCTTGCATGTGCTGTTTTGATTAATGATCAGTTTTCATCTCTTTGGGTTTCTTGAATAAATAACACCCAATTACCATCATCATTGTTGAGCTCCCATAATGGAGCTAGTGTGGAAGTATCTAACAGAATCTAGTACGAGGTAGTTGTTCAGTAAATATTTGATCTTTTTATCTCAAGATGCATTCTAGGTATTCTGCGTATAGACATTTATGGAGGTAACAAAATGATTCAGTATAATTATTAGCATTTCAGAGTTTACAGTATGTTTTTTTAGTGCTCGTATGGAATTAGAACTTAAATCTAAAATTTAATAATCGATTCAATACGTTCCTCCTGAATAATAGCTGTTATATTTGTACCAGCCAACTATCATTGACTTAACTGCTATTGTTCCATGAAGAAAAGATTATGGGAGATCCTTTACTTATGGGAGTACCCATATAAATTTAACTATAGTGGGGCAAATGCCAGAAGAAGCCTGACCTTTTTCTATCTTCCAAGTTTGGTCTAATTCTAGCCCAGACCTCTACTGACAGAATTCTAGCTTATGCAGACTTTTCTCCTCAATAATGCTTGGGTCCATCAGGAACAAACTTCAGTCAGTTTCATACTATTTGCCTCTTGTTTGGAACTGTCCAAACCAGAAGCTAATATAGTTATACATTTGAGTGGCATCCCTGTTCTAGAATCCTCATCTGAGAGAGAATAGGGTCAGAACTGAATCAAATTGCAGCACTATCTGCTAGTCTGCTTACCCATTGCATTCAGTGATTTTCCTGGCACAAGAAAGAGACCTCAGAAAAACAAGACCTATTTTCTTCCTCATGCAAAAAGAGGTATGTTCCTTTTGTGGTACTATATCAGTCAATGAGCATGAATCAAGAGAAGCTAAATTAGAAAGCCTCATAATTCAGATAAATTTATTATGAAGTTGAATTCCATTTCAAGTTTAACTGTTTCCCTCCTACTTTTTATTTTGTTTCCAGGTTCTCTTGGTTAGAAACTCCTCCTTATCTGGTGCTGCAACAATGAGTGGTAAATCCCTGCTCTTAAAGGTCATTCTCTTGGGTGATGGTGGAGTTGGGAAAAGCTCACTTATGAACCGTTATGTAACCAATAAATTTGACTCCCAGGCTTTTCACACCATAGGGGTAGAGTTCTTAAATCGAGATCTGGAGGTAGATGGACGTTTTGTAACTCTTCAGATCTGGGACACTGCAGGGCAGGAACGTTTCAAGAGCCTTAGGACACCCTTCTACAGGGGAGCAGACTGCTGCCTTTTGACCTTCAGCGTGGATGACCGGCAGAGCTTTGAGAACCTTGGTAACTGGCAAAAAGAATTCATCTACTATGCAGATGTGAAAGACCCTGAGCACTTCCCCTTTGTAGTTCTGGGTAACAAGGTAGACAAAGAGGATAGGCAAGTGACTACTGAGGAGGCACAAGCTTGGTGCATGGAGAATGGGGATTACCCTTACCTAGAAACAAGCGCCAAAGATGACACTAATGTAACAGTGGCCTTTGAAGAAGCTGTCAGGCAGGTGCTGGCTGTAGAGGAACAGTTGGAGCATTGCATGTTAGGTCACACTATTGACTTGAACAGTGGCTCCAAAGCAGGATCTTCATGCTGTTAAAAGTAAGAAGCCTTTTAAAAGTGTACCTCAAATTGGCCAGTCAGTAATGTAAGAATAACTGTGCCTCTTTAAAAGTGCACACACACAAAAGAAAGGGTAAGAGATAAGGTTGCAATTGTTATTTAGAGCCTTTCAAACTGAAGTTGTAGAGCAAATTTTTAAAAGCGCCTATCAAGCCAAGTGTATTTTGTGTGATTTCTGCTATTTCCTTCTTGTGTGCATCAGGACATTCAGACAGCTTTAGTCCTGAGAGATTTAAATATTTTTCAAATCGCAGTTTAAACTTAGAACCCAGCTGCATGAAGGAATTAAAGAGCTACAGCTATTTCTTTAAGTGTTTCATTAGTCCACTAACAAATGTCACCACCAACTATTGCCAAACAGTTTCTTACATGTCTGTCAAAGGGGGAATAATACTCTGAGCTGTATTAAAATAAATATAATAATGCAAACAAGGATGTTCTAAGCTTGAATTATAAAAAGTTGTAATGATTAGGAATGTGAAAGTGTAATTATGTACACTGCCTTGTTTAAATCCTTATGTATGCTTTCCTCCCATCTGAGGTTTTCAAAAAATACCATCTCAATGAGAGATACACTGATGACACTGGAACTTTATTATATTCCTTGTATTTGAAGTAACAGGGTACTACAAAATGAATTATGTCTAAATATGCCAACCACCCTTGCAAATAAATGGTTGGTTTGCTTTTACTTCATAAGTCTACTTTTTTGGTGCATAAGGATGTTGCTTCCCTGACCACCTCTTATCAATTTAGCAATGCTGTTTAGTATATGGTTTTGAATGCAATGCTCTTTGTTCATAATTTTGATGGTCCTTTTGTCCACCATGCTGTGCTCTCACATAAACCTTCAGAAAAATTGGGGGATAATGGGCTTTTCTCACAAGGTTCCTTAACTCCAATATTTATTGTAGAAGAAAGTGACCAGAAAGCAGATTTTAACCCAGTGTTAGGATGAATTTCTCATGATTAGATTTCTCCAACAGTGGAATGGATTGCCTTAATAGTGAACTCCTTTCTAGTAAAAATATTCAAGTAGATGCTGTATGAACATCTGTTAAAATAACATAAAAATAATTTCTGACTGACTGGATGCTTGGTTTAAGGTCCCTTTCAGGTCTAAGTTCTAAGAATCTATAAGCTACATACTGTGTTTCAGTGCCATGTTATAGTTTGAAATATCTTAAGACAACAGCTAAGACTATGGAGAGGGACTTTTAAAATGCTCAAAAACTATTCTGGGATCAGCATTTAACAGCAACTACATAGCTCTGTTATTTGCTTTCATACTATGGCAGGAAAAATTTTTGAGATCAAAGTAATTATTGTGTGCCCTAATATAAACACCCTAAAAGGACCATGTTAAAATACAAAAGTAGTTTGTCAAAATTTGATTACTATGGCTGCCAGCTATCAATATGCAGTCTAGTTCTTTTTGGTTGACCTGTTTTTCCTGCATAGCTTTTTATCTGTACTTTTAAAATACCTATGATAAAAATAGTGACCCAAGTTAGTGAGGGACAGTTATAAATGATTCCCAGAAGAGACTTGGGCCAGGGTGGGGAGCATGGGAGCTTTCACAAGAATACAGCCTAGAACTCTCCATTGTAGCCACATGGAATCAGCCTTACACATTGAACCATAGGTGTTTTAAGAGCTCTGGGACTTTTTTGCCACACTGACAAGTTGAAGAGGGTATTTCAACCCAGTCATACTCAATATTTCCAATTTAAATATAGTCTTGACCCTACTGTCCAGCTTACTTTTATGCTAGAAGTCAAAGAACAGAGCTGGGACCCCATAGCTCATAAGTATTGGTCCCTATCCTGCCTATGCCTATAGTCAGCCATACTAGTTTCCAAATTCTATGATCATTTTGCCACAGTCTTGTTAGGGTGAAAAATCTGTACATCAGAACTGTTAATTGCTAATTGTTTTAAAGTGCATGAGACCTGGGGCCTTCTCTTTCTACTTGCACTCTGCTTATAAAATTTCTATTTGTAGATCTCAGGCCTTCATAAAGACCTCCATCTACTCACAAAAGTACTTGTCTCTATCAAAATTAAATGTGGTCATTTAAGTAAAAAAAAAAAAGTAATATGTGGGTATCCCATTCATAGGCCTCCTGTGCATCCAAAACAATTGTTAATTTTATTAGCAGGTCAACTGAGGCCTCTTTCCTCTTAGCTATGACAATTTTTTTTTTCTGCCAAATCACTACACAATACTTTAGTGAAAGCACCTGACATTAAGTAACAAAAAAACAGTGGCATTTTGGTGATATATAATTTGAGTTAGATTAAAAAACACCAAAGGCTTAAATCTGTGAAGCCCAGGAACTGTATGTACCCTAGAAAGTATGTACCCTAGAATGTGCAGTGCAGTATTTTTGGTAGTTTTTCATAAACACTAGATTTTTTAAATAAAATATTTCTAATTGAAACTATACTGTTTTTCAATGGTCCATTTGAACATCATACAGAATATTTATTCTGTTTATTTTCATGTATTGAGCTAATATTCAGGGGGCCTCAGATTCCATATGACTTCAGTGGATTGTTAAATTTCAGGTTAATTTGTGCCTGCCTCAGCCATCTCTACTTTACCCTGAGGTAGTCCACAATCCTCTTGTTGCAGGTGCTGCTAAAAATTCAAAATTGTGTATCATATATTTTATTTCAACTGTAAAAAGGCATCTGTGTTAAAGTAAATAAAAAGTGCTTTTTGAATAACCAGTATACAATGCTTGTGCTTCTCTCCCTTTCTTTTTTTGAGCAGTTGGCGAGCATGATACACAGTACTTCTCAATCAAATCACTTTTTGGGCTGTACTGCATGTCACCTCTAGATCATTTTTTTTCACATGGTACTCCAAGCCACTACCTAATAATCAGACAAATACTTTTCTACTGACTGCAAAATAAACTCAAAGAATTAAGATGGGGAGGTTCTTTTTTACTTTATACCACTTTTTAATGTATGAAGAGTATTGGGACTGGAAATTGGGTCTTGACTCTCTATGTCTTCATTATAATTTAAAACAAATGTTAAAACATCACAGAATATAAAAAGAATATATATATTCCTTTTATTTTCTTGACTGGAATACTGTCCAGATCTTAGGAAACATGAAAATATAGGCAAAATAAATCAGTAAACAAAGGATAATTTTGTTAAATATTCTGTTTTCTTGCTTCCACATATTGGACTTTAAAGATCAGCATCAACTGGATTTAACATACATGGTGGTGACTTTTAAATTATGGACTCAAGCCCTAGCTGGTGTGGCTCAGTGGATTGAGCACCAGCCTGCAAACAAAGAGCTACAGGTTTGATTCCCAGTGTAGGGCACATGCCTGGGTCACAGGCCAGGTCCCCAGAAGGGGTTGCACGGAATGCAACCACACATTGACGTTTCCCCCGCTTCTCTCCCCCTCTCTAAAAATGAATAAATAATTTTTTTAAAAAAAGATTTAAATTACGGACTCAAATCTCTCCACACCACATAATTTCATTACATTGATTCGATCTGTCTCAGGTTTAGCTGTCTTCTCTCCTCTCTGTATTTTTGGACAGTTGGAACTTTGGCCAGTTGAAATCACATGGGGAAAAAAACAGATTTTTTTGCCACATGTACTACTTTCATCTCTGAGGATAATCGTTTAACAAATTACCAGACCCTGCTTCAAATACATCCCTGAAATCCTTTTGATAGGCTATAATGATGTAACTTTTAGTCTATACAAATTCATAAAGTTATAAGCCTCTTAAAAAAGGATTTGCTCATCCAAAACTGGTATTTTAAAAGCAGCAAACTAGCTTTCTGTCTTTGCTATTTTTCTGCCTGATTCATACTCCAGTGGGAAATGTCCTTCTCTTGATATCTTAAGAAATAGAATAGGTTCTCACTTTTTGGAAATAGTTTGGCTATGGTCCTTCCAGGAAGTAGAGTGTGTGGAATAGATGTTTTCTCTTCAATTCTGTAACTGAATTTTTAAAACACTGGAAAATTGAGGCATTGATGAGTAATTTCAGTATAAGAGTTGGGGTGGGCATCTCTACTTTCATTTGAATTACCTGAAGTAATTCTAACTGCAACAATTTTTTTTTCTTCAGTGACCCAGATAATAATTTCATTTTTTCCTCTTCTTTCTATGGAGATATAGGATTTATTACAATGGTGTGCTTCTCTTAGTCTTGATTTTAGGGCAGGTAAACTGTGATATACCTTTTTTAAAAGAATCCTCATCTAGGGACATGCTTATTGATTTTAGAGAAGGGTGGGTGGGGGAGAGAGAGAGAGAGAGCGAGCGAGCCAAATATCAATCAATTGCCTCTGGCATGTGTCCCTACCAGTGACCAAACCTGCAACCCAGACATGTGCCATGACTGGGAATTGAATCAACAACCTTTCGTTTTATGGGACAATGCTTCAATCAACTGAGCCACACTGGCCAGGGCTGTGATTGCCTTTTGATAAAATATTAACATATGTGTATGAGTTTTTCCAGACTGGTCTCTTTTTTCCTCCTGGATTTATTGAGGTATAATTGACAAACAAAAGTTTATGTATTGAGGAGAGGTTCAGTCAGGATGGTGGCATAGATAAACACAGCTAAACTCCTCATACAATCACATCAAAATTACAACAAAACTACAGAACAATCATCATACAGAACTGTCAGAAATCAATCTGAATGGAAGTCCTACAAATGGAAAATTAAAGAAAAAACTATATCCAGACTGGTAGGAGGGGCAGGATGTGGAATGTGCTGGTCCCACACCCATGTGTGGTAGATAAAAATTGGGAGGGATTTCTCAGGAGCAAGGGGGTCCCAGCTCCACACCAGGCTCCCCAGCCCAAGGTTCCAGTGCCTGGAAGATAAGTGATAACTTCTGGCTGTAAAAACTAGTGGGAATTGAGTCTGTGGGAAGGCAAACTGCTAGATTCTCAGACAGTTCTTTTTAAAGGGTGTGT